TACGTACTCGTACTCTACTCTCTCTCTCTCTCTCTCTCTCTCTCTCTCTCTCTCTCTCTCTCTCTCTCTCTCTCTCTCTCTCTCTCTCTCTCTCTCTCTTAATCAGAAGAACAATCCAAATAATTCGATTAAAAGTCAAATATAACTTTTTTTCCAATAACGCAACGCGCAACGAAATATTCCGAATCAAATAAGACTCAAGTTCCGAGGTTGGAATCTTTCCAAGGAAAGTTCGAACCTTCTCGCTAGACCGGTGTAATCGTGTGTTCTGTCATCCGTAGAGCAGTGTCCACCCTGTATAACCGCGTGTCTCGTCTTCCGACAGGAACGTTCTACCTTGTAGAACCGCGGCGGCCCCGCGGACGCTCGTAAAGAACAAAATGCCAATCCAATTTCCCGGAAGGTCTCACTCAGGCGAGGCTTGTCTTTCTCTTTCCCCTCGCGCGTCCTCCCCATCTCTTCCTCGATCGGTTAAGGAGGCTCTTCCTTCACTCGGGGATCTCGCGGGGAGACATTCCGCCACGCGAGAACGCCCGCTGGAATTTAACCGTTGCGCCCTCGGGCTCGGGAGGAACAACCGGTACCGGCTGTAGTGTGTGCGAAACAACGAGGGCTTATCCCGGTAATAAAAGCCGGTCTAAATATCTCAGGCGCGCTGTCGAGGGGATCTCGTTGAAGCGGCGAGCTATGTTTTCCACCGGTTACGATGTTATGTCACGGCGGTTTCGTAGTCGCGCACTCCACTGTAATACCATCCTTAAACTTTCAAATGGACTAGAAAATTACAAATGGCTGATAATAGTCCGCAATATTCTGAACTACCTAAATCATGAAATGTAACAACCCGATTCCCTTTACCATGATGCAATCATTGCGATGTCACACGTTTGTCGTAATAAAAAAAAAAAAAAAAACAAACAAAGAGGAAATATGAATCTGCGTGGAAGGATAAGTGATAGGTTAAGATAAAAAATACAAAAGCTTTTTGATAATATATGTCGATAAATTTTAGTAAAAAAGGAACGTTTAAAAAAAATATATCTATATATTTTAAATAAATATATTTATATATGTCCTGTTCCTGTGAAAGGTAAAGAGAAAAATTGCAGGATGACTATTTTGCATGACTATGAAAAATGTCAGCTATTTTTAAAAACGCGATATCTCGTCACATAAAAAATTCATTCATTTCAGCGAATGATATTGTTCGCACAATATTCCGCGTGCATGTTTCCTATTCGAGTGTGTCGTTGATATTGATTTAATGAGTGCGGGGCAATGGCGAAATACCGTGTTTCCTTCTGAAGGGGAACCGGCGAAAAATCATGATATTCGCCGCTCGCGATGGGAAACAAAGGCACGTGTGTACCCACGGGGGCCCTACTGTCTGGAGCCTGTCAAGGCGCACACAATGCCGTGTTCCGACTTTCACATTTTGCTCGAAAGTAATAACGAAGTTACGATGCGCCGCCATGGAACTTTTACAGCGGTCACGGCGCAACCTGCAACCCGCGTGCACGCGCGCGCGGGCGTGCAGATATTATCTCACCCCCGATGTACCATATATCAAGCACGAGCGAGCGAGCGTCCCCGCCGCTCGGCTAGATCCGCGGTTCGATCGCGGTAATAACGATCGAATGGAACGCACAATGGGCGCGGAGGGGGCGCGGGTGGAAACACT